TTTTTTTTTTTTTTTTTTTTTTTTTTTTTTTTTTGTGACTTTCCCAGAGCTGCACCTTCTGAAGAGCAAATGCATCTTCCTGGGTTTGTCAAATGTAGATTGTCACTTAGTCTCTCTTATCACACACCCACAGGATGCTGCTCAAATGGGGCAAGTGCACGGGCTTGCCGCGTTGTCATGAAGTCTCCCAAAGACCTGTCTATTTGTGGTCCCCTTTCCTGGGGCATGAAGAAGGAGTGTTGTCTCCTGCAGTGACTTCCTCTGATCCTTAAATCTTCCTGGTTGTTTTTTTCTGGGTAGCTTTTCTAAAATCCCCAGAGGGAGGAGAAACTCTACAGAGGATAAGAACTCCTGACTTGTGCCCCTCAGAGTTCATGGTTTCCTTGCCACCAGCACCAAAGAATCTAAAAGTTATTCAAAGAATAATAGCTTCAAACTAATTAGAAGTTTAGCAAGAAGATAGGCCAGACATTTGCTACCTTGAAAACCAAGAGACAGGTCATTTGGACATGTTTCTCTAGTGCTGGAATGCCAAGGAGGACTTTTCTGAAAAAGCAACATCCAAACTGGTAGCCAGGTAGCTCCCATAGCTCAGTGGGTAGGGTGCCGGCCACATACACTGAGGCTGGAGAGTTCGAACCTGGCCCTGGCCAGCTAAACAACAATGACAACTGCAACAAAAATAGCCAGGCGTTGTGGCAGGCACCTGTAGTCCCAGCTACTTGAGAGGCTGAGGCAAGAGAATCACCTAAGCCCAAGAGTTTGAGGTTGCTGTGAGCTGTGATGCCATGACACTCTACCAAGGGTGGGTGACATAGTGAGACTCAAAAGAAAAAAAAAAGAGGGCAGCACCTATGGCTCAGTGAGTGGGGCACTGTCCCCATGTACCGGGGGTGGCAGGTTCAAACCTGGCCCCAGCCAAACTGCAACAAAAAAAATAGTCAGACATTGTGGTGGGCACCTGTAGTCCCAGCTACTGGGGAGGCTGAGGCAAGAGAATTGCCTAAGCCTAAGAGCTGGAGGTTGCTGTGAGCTGTGATGCTACAGCACTCTACCGTGGGCGTGAGACTGTCTCTTTAAAAAAAAAAAAAAGGAAACTCACTGTGCTTAACTCTGGTTCCTGGTGAGAATTAGAAAAACAAAGCATCCCTTTAAACAGATGAATTTTAAAAGGGCACCCTTTCCTGACAGACTCAGCAGATGCCATGGGCTTGGGGCTGAGTTTGAGCCCCTGCGCTGTGAGTGAATACAGAGCACACTCTACCCCCTTCTGCCCTAGATGTGTTTCTCCAATTAGACTCTCCACTTCCAGGGCTTAATTAAGAGTCAACACAAAGGACATTCCAGAGGGTGTGGATCTTCTCCCAGCCAAGGATTAATTTTTCTGTTTCTTCCAAGGTTCAATCTATGCCTGTCACAAAATCATTAATATTTCCCTGGACATATATTATTCTGCTCAAGTTCATTGTAAAGTGTAACCATTTCTACCTTGGAGGAGTTGAGTGTGTCTTTCAGAGCCCTGATTGGCCTTTATCCGTGAGCTTTGGTTCTCTCTGCATGACCAGAACACTAATCAGAGAAGCAAAAACAACACATTTCAGAAGCTGGGGTGAGAGGGAAGGTGGATAAAAATAGGCAGAACCAGCTTCATAAAAAGCATGGTTTTGCTTTACAAATCTGACAGTATTTTCAGAAAGGAACACAGAACATGGCCAGAGGGAGCTTGCGATGGAGTTGAACCTCAAGAATGTCTTTGAAAGATCTGACTCTTCCCAAAAAGTATGAGAGAAAGGGAGTTCTGGCTGGAATAGGTAACACTACCTCAAGAAAGAGACATAGAAATCAGCCTGGAGTCCTGGGGGCAGGTGAGGGAAGTGAGGCCAAGGCAGAGAAAGGAGCCTGCGGGGGGTTCCAATGGCAGCTCAATTTTACCAAGCCGGCATTTTCCAGTATAACATGTCATCTCTGCATGCTTATGTTCATTTTTCTAGGGAAAGAACCCATAGCTTCCCATCAGATTTTTCAGAGTAATCTGTGAGCCCTTCCCTTGCCTACTTCCCCCCTCCCAATTGAGAACTACAGAAAAAAATCACAGCTGTAGATTGCAGTTCTAGACCTTAGTGGCCTGAAGTACACGGAAAAGGTGCGCACCAAGCCTTGAGGATTGGCCGCTTTCAGTACAACAAAGGAGAGTCGCCCTAAGTTTTTCCTAATAAGTACATACTGCATTTATAATCATTTTAAAGAGTTATTTTTTAAAATGGCACTTCCCAAAGGATGTCCACCATTTTGCTGGAGCCAAAGGAGGACCCAGTCTAATTCATGATTTCTGGAGCCTCTCTGAGCCTAACTACTTATTCAAGGCTTTGAGTTTGACTTAGACTGATTTTTACAATGACTGCTGTTTTGGTTAAGGAGCCTGCAAGTAGAGAGAAAATATTTTTAGAAGGAAATATAGTACAGTGTGCCATTACACCATTGTTGAATTAGCGTATAAGACTCTCCATTTTTAGGTTTTTGCTGCTGTAATACAATGAAGGAAAATTCAGACCTGCAGATGCTTTGTTCCATCACACTTGGGGTTTCCCTGTATCTTCAACTGGCTTCTACTAAAGGCCTTTCCCACAAATCAGCCTCCCTTCTTTAAAAATAAAATGACTGAGAGGCTGGTTACGGTGGCTCACTGTAATGCTAACAATCTGGGAGGCCGAGGCAGGTAGATTGCCTAAGCTCACAGGTTCGAGACCAGCCTGAGCAAGAGCAAGACCCCCGTCTCTAAAAATAACCAGGTGTCGTGGTAGATGCCTGTAGTCCCAGCTACTTGGGAGGCTGAGGCAAGAGGATCACTTGAGCCCAGAACTGTGAAGTCACTGTGAGCTATGACGCCATGGCACTCTACTGAGGGCAACAAAATAAGACTCTGTCTCAAAAATAATTAATTAATTAATTAAATGATTGGAAGGAAATTGCTACCATAAATAAAGCTAAAAGAGTAGGAGAAAATATTTGCAACATATAAGGCCAACAGATGATTAATATTTATAATTTATAAAAAGGTCCTGTAGGGCAGTGCCTGTGGCTCAGTGGGTAGGGTGCTGGCCCTATATACTGAGGGTGGCAGGTTCAAACCCAGCCCTGACCAAACTGCAACAAAAAATAGCCAAGCGTGTGGCTATAGTCCCAGATACTTGGGAGACTGAGGCAAGAGAAGAGCCTAAGCTAAGACCCTCACCTAAGCCCAAGAGCTGGAAGTTGCTGTGAGCTGTGATGCCATGGCACTCTACCAAGGGCAACAAAGTGAGACTCTGTCTCTAAAAAAAAAAAAAAGGTCCTATATATCAAAAATTCACCAACTCAGTACAAAAATGGCAAAGAACATGAAAAGTCATAGAAGAAATGCAAGTGGACTTACTACATAGGAGTAGTAAGGAGAAAAGCCAGTGAACTTACTACTAATCATAAGAAACATAAGGAAAACGAGAAGAGATGACATTTGCCCATCTGATAGCAAAAATTTTAGAGAATGGCGATATTCAGTTTTGGATATAAAATGATATCCAGTTTGATAAATATATACTATAAAAATAATAAGAGGAATAACCTGTAACCCAACCATTCCATTTAAAGAAATTTAATCTTAAGAAATATACATGTTGGCTCGGCACCTGTGGCTCAAGTGGCTAAGGCGCCAGCCATGTACACCCAAGGTGGCGGGTTCGAATCCAGCCCGGCCTGCCAAATAACAATGACGGCTGCAACCAAAAAATAGCTGGGCGTTGTGGCGGGCGCCTGTGGTCCCAGCTACTTGGGAGGCAGATGCAGAAGACTCCCTTGAGCCCAGGAGTTGGAGGTTGCTGTGAGCTGAGATGCCATGGTACTCTACCCAGGGAGACAGCTTGAGGCTCCTGTCTCAAAAAAAGAAATATACATGTTGTACAGGCGTGGTAGTACATACCTGTAGTCCCAGCTCCTTGGGAGGCTGAAGCAGGAGGATCCCTTGAGCCCATGAGTGTGAAGCTACAGTGACCGATGATGAAGCCACTGTGCTATAGCCAGGGCAACAGAACAAGAGTCTATCTGAAAAAAAAAAAAGAAGAAGAAAAGAAAGAGGGTGGCATCTGTGGCTCAGTGGGCAGGGCGCCTTCCCCATATACCAAAGGTGGCAGGTTCAAACCTGGCCCCAGCCAAACTGCAACAAAAAAATAGCTGGGCATTGTAGCAGGTGCCTGTAGTCCCAACTACTCGGGAGGCTGAGGCAAGAGAATGGCCTAAGCCCCAGAGTTAGAGGTTGCTGTGAGCTGTGTGATGCCATGGCACTCTACTGAGGGTGATAAAATGAGACTCTGTCTCTACAAAAAAAAAAAAAAAAAGGAAAGAAAGAAAAGAAAAAGAAGTACACATGTGTTCATCAATGTATGTACAGAGCTATTCTGTATGGTAGCATTTATAAAAGCTAAAAATTAAGCCAGGCTCAGTGGCTCACATCTAGCACTCTAGCAGGTGGATTGCCTGAGCTCAGGAGTTTGAGACCAGCTTGAGCAAGAGTGAGGCCCAATCTCTACTAAAAATAAAAAAACTAGTCGGGCATTGTGGTGAATGCCTGTAGTCCTAGCTATTCAGGAGGCCGAAGCAAGAGGATTTCTGTCTTTTGTTTGTTTTTTTGTTCAGCAGGCCCTGGCTGGATTCGAACCCACCAGGCCTAGTGCACAGGGCCAGCACTCTGACCATTGAGCTATGGGCACCCAGCCACAAGAGGATTTCTTGAGCTCAAAAGTTTGAGGTTGCTGTGAGCTATGATGCCATGGCACTGTATCCAGGCCAGCAATGAGACTCTGTACTTAAAAAAAAAAAAAAAAAGACTAAAAATTAGTCTTGGTATAAATGTGTATTAGTAGGACTATTAGTTAATAAATCCCCGGACTCTTTGCCCAAACTGGGCTGATGGCAAGGGAATGCTGGTCTCATCCTAGTCATCTTGGCAGAGGGGAGAGTTCTACCGAGGCCTTGTAGAACATCATACCCTCGAGCATGAGATTGTGATCTGCTCTCTCCTAACGGAAAGAGAACAAGAAGGAGAGGAAAGAAATAGGTGGAAGGAAAGGAAAGGAAATTTCATCCCACTGAATTACAGAGAGCAAGGCATTTGTATCCCAATGCTGATTATCCAAAGATAGTAGGATGTACTTTCCTTATCAGAAGAAATACCATACTAGTTCCAATTTCCTTAAATCAGGCTATTAACTCTGGTGTTATTTGCTTAAAAAACATTTATTTAAGAAAGCTTATTTACATCATGTTTCCAAGCGCTGTGGCTGGTTGTGGCTATAGGATCTCCAACTGCATGCGGGAACAATCTGCAGAGACTTTGACAGCGTAGGTCAGTACAATACCTGCAGCTGCCCCTCACCTTTCCTATGTGTTTCAGGACCTGGGCTCAGTCTGCCACCTGAGTCCAGGAGTTTTCCATTAATTTCTCTGTGAATGGGTATATTAGATCAGTGTCTTGGTTTTCTTTTATATTAAAAAATTAAAATTAAAAAAAACTTATTTCAGAAGAATAAGTTATGGCTCAGCACCTGTAGTACAGGGGTTATGGTGCCGGCCACATGCAGTGAGGCTGGTGGGTTTGAACCTGTCCGGGGCCAGCTAAACAACAATGGCAACTGCAACCAGAAAATAGCTGGGCGTTGTGGCAGGGGCCTGTAGTCCCAGCTACCTGGGAGGCTGAGGCAAGAGAATCACTTGAGCCCAAGAGTCTGAGGTTGCTGTGAGCTAAAATGCCACAGCACTCTACTGAGGGCAACAAAGTGAGATTCTGTGTCCAAAAAAAAAAAAAAGAAGAAGAAGTTATGACCTTTCAAAATCTGTAAGTCAGAGGGTGATTATCAATGTATTTGCAAAAGAATAAGAGTATTAAGAGTTTGTCTGATACACATAAAAATTTGTTTTCTGGAAGCAAAGAAGCTTGAACCTAAATTGTTAGAAGTCACCCTGATTATTGAAAATCAATCAGTAATGAAGATGAGTCATCTTCAAAAATATAATCTATCATTGGGTACACATAAATGAATTTACTAAGAAATTGATTCATATATAGATTTCTGAGGTAGTGTATGTTGCCAAAGCTAGATGCAATTCATTTTACCAGATAACCTGAACAGGATCATATTCACTTGATTCAGATTTCCATAAATTACTGAGGAATACTGAAAACATTTACATGGACACGTATGGTCTTTGGGGATATTTCAAGATGTAGACAAATATATTTCCTTTAACCCAGCAGGGGCCAAATTCTCATCATCTTTTACAAAACTACTCTACTAGAAATATTCATGCCTATGAGGTCTAACTAGGAATTTTTTTTTCTTATAGATAGAATTTTCTGAAATTTTGTTTGTTAATGCTTTGTTTAAAAAAAAAAATGGGGAGGATTATGTTTCTAGAGTGAGCAGAAATTCTAGAAAAGTATGCCTTCTTTTTCACCAATTAGAAATTGATGGCATTCATCTCCTAATGATCCCAAATAATAGACTTTTTAATAACATACATTTTTCTTTCTTAGACAGGGAATGCATAGTTGATGTGGAAGATTTAGGACATAGAGAAGGGAATGAAAATCACCTGTAATCACAATTCCTCAAAATAACCCCTGTTACCGTTTTGAAATGTATCCTTTCCTTTCAGTGTTTCTAAATACAGAAGACGCTTTTCTGACTAAAATGATTTCCTATAATATATACAGTTTTTTACCTTCTTTTTTGTCTTTAACAATATATTAAGGATATCTCTCGGCAGTCTGAAATATTCTTCTGCCTCGTTTTTAATGATTCCCTAGTGCTATCCGTCCCCTGTGCTGTTTTCGGTTTTTCGTTATTATAAACAAGGCCGTAGTAACACACGTCTTGTGGTTAATCTCTTTGGCACATCCGTAAGATGGATATATCTCCGAAAGCCGGGAGTCGCAAAGTTTAAGGCCCGTCTTAACATTGCGCTAAAGATGATTTAAAGATCATCCAGCGGAGTGATTTCTGCGGAGGGATTCGCTAGAATTTAAAAAAAAAAAAGCAAAACCTGCAACTTTCATTTTCCAAATTATCGGGAAGCCCCTTGAGTTGGGGGAGGGGTACTGCCTAATGACTTCTGTATAGAGAAATTTCTTTACTTTTAGCTAAAAATGACCCTCAGTTATGGTTCCAGGTGTATCTGTGTTTAAGAAATGTTGATAACCAGTCATTGAAGTGAAAGTGATGTATTGAAAAAATGTATTGTCATTGTCGACTACGATGCATTTGTCTGAACCGTAAAGCAGCATGTTCTTCGCCTTTGGGTTATCTCGGATTTTCTAAAAGAAAAGCATGCCCTTTGCTTGGCCAGACTGCTGCTTAGCATTCTTGATGCTTACATTGCTTATGGACATTTTCGATTGATGATTTCGGGGTATACTAAGCGATCATCAGCTAAACAAAATAGCCCAGGTCTAGATTGAGGGCCACGCACCTTCTTGGTCTTAGACTGCAGTGAATTAAATTGTAGACTTTGGCAAATCTGCCCTCTGGAAAGAAGAGAATTTCATATGACACTCATATGACACATGGATTGATACAAAAAAGACACCAGTGATGGGCACCTGTAGTTGGCTGGTGCCCTTGGGAGGCTGAGGCAAGAAGATTGTTTGAGCCCAAGAGTTTGAGGTTGCTGTGAGCTAAGATGCCACGGCATTGTACCAAGGGTGACCAAGTCAAACTGTGTCTCAAAAAGTAAGTAAATTAATACATTAAATTAAATTTAAAAGACACCGAACCACATAATACAGAAAATACTTAAGGAGGGCCAGGAGTGGTGGCTCGTGTCTATAATCCTAGCACTCTGGGAGGCTGAGGAAGGTGGATTGCCTGAACTCACAGGTTCAAGATCAGCCTGAGCCAGAGTAAGATCTTCTCTCTAAAAATAGACAGGCATTGCAGCAGGTGCCTGTAGTCCCAGCTGCTTGGGAGGCCGAGGCAAGAGAATTGCTTAATCCCAAGAGTTTGAGTTTTCTGTGAGCTGTGAGGCCACAGTACTCTACAGAGGGCAACATAGTGAGACTCTGTCAAAAAAAAAAAAACTGAAGGGTAAAGTCCAGCCGTGAATACCCATTCTAAATCCCTGCCAAGTCAGTTACTGATCAAGGTGGTAGATTAAGCAATTGTTCAGCATATCTTCTTTTGTAAAGAGGCAAGAAGTTCAATTCTGCCAAGAGAGTAACCCAGGAATGCCCATCTGGGAAAACTGCTGATAAAATATGAAATAGCCCAAGGAGTGGGATGTGGGCGGGAATAAAACGACAGAATTATTTAAAGGAAGCCATTGTCATTTTTATATATTTCACATACTGAAGATGGATAGGTCCTTTGAAGTTTTCTGTTGGTTTTTGGGGGGCTTTTTGAGACAGAGTCTCACTTTGTCATCCTGGGTAGAGTGCTGCGGCATCACAGCTGACAGCAACCTCCAACTCTTGGGCTCAAGCAATTCTCTTGCCTCAGCCTCCCAAGTAGCTGGGACTACAGGCAATCACCACAATGCCCAGCTACTTTTAGAAATAGGGTCTCACTCTTGCTCAGACTGGTCTCAAACTTGTGAGCTCAGGCAATCCATCTACCTGGGCCTCTCAAGAGTTTTAGGATTACAGGTGTGAGCCACTGCATCGGCCCTCTTTTAAGTTTTTTGACAGTTTGGATGAAACAGGGTTTCTCAACCTTGCCACTATTGACCATTTGAACCAGATGATTTGAAGATAGGACCTTGGGGGTCCTATGCTTTGTAGGACGTTCCGTAGCAACCCTCGCCTCTATACACTAGATGCTAGTGGATAGCTAGTAGCACCCCTTCCCCAGTTGGAATCACCAAAAATGTCACAAAATTGTCCCTTATTGAGAACCACCAGATTAAGATCATTATCCTGAAATACTGAGAAACTACAGGCTCGAGCCAAAAATCATGGCATGTGCCATTTTATTTATAGATCCATGTGGGTGGAGGTAGTGCCAGCCATCTTCAAGCTGTTAGGCGAGACTAGAAGTTCAGTGTAGACCTGCACTTTGACAGCTTGAATTCTGTGCAAAATCACATCTCTGTGTGCGGTTGCACCAAATCTCACTTGTACCAGTGAACATCACTGCTCGGCCTTCTACCTCCTGCCTCCTATAATAGCAATGAAAGTGTCCTTTTCTGCTGTTGGGTGCATTGATTTAAAGGATCTCTAAATCTATTTTCAAAGGTATATGGAAGGTAAGTGTTAAACTAAGCAAAACTGACCCTCTGTCCCCAAAGGGATCTTCTAAAGATGCTTTAGGAGATCTCAGGCTATGCCACTGCCCACGTGCTAATACTTCCTACCCACCTAGCTCACTTTACAAGAACCACCCCTAAACAATTTCCACTCTTCTCTGTTCTAAGACTATTTTGGTTTAACTGCCTTGCCCTCACTCCCCCTGTGGCTGGTGTAGCTAACTTTATGATTTACTCTTCATAAAGTTAGACAGTTCCCCGCTTTTTTCAACCTCTTTAGCTACTGCTAAGCTATCGTCTTTCCCTTAAGTCTCCCCCCATTGAAAAGTATGCATTTAATAACGGAAGTTACCAACGTCTTGGCCTCTTTCAGATATGACAATGGATGACGTTCGGGAATACGAGAAAAACATGCATGAACAAACCAACATAAAAGTTTGCAATCAACATTCCTCCCCTGTGGATGACATAGAGAGTCATGCCCAAACAAGTGTACGTAGAATTTTTCAAACATGTTGCCCACCCTTTACCAAAGGCACACATACACTGATCTTTGAAACACTACGAACGCTCAAGTGTCCAAACTGTCACAGAAACTTACGGTCGCCCAGAAGCTGTTGTTGAAGAACCTGCCCTGGGACTAAATTGGACAGGGTCAATTCTGGCTTTCTAGACATTTCGATTCTTGAGCTGCTTGACTTGGGGGTTATTTGGATCATAAAACCAAGAACACGGAGAGTGGAAACACTTTGTGGTACTAGTAAAATGGCCTGAATCATAAAAGAGCGAGAAGTGAAAATGGATGTCATATGTAAACTAGAACAACATGTTGTAACTTTTAAAAACATAGTTAACACTCACTTATTCATTCAAGGGAGGGCTTCTGGCGCATCTGCTATTTTCGGTTTCTTTACATTTGCTTCGAAATGCTTTCTGTGGCTCTTTATAGCTGTTTTACCCAATCAGTTCCTTTTTACTCAGGGTAATCTCAAGACGGGGCTGCAGGCTGTGCATACACACAGGCTGAGCTGTGAAGGGGTGGGGGAGCTGAGGACGTGCTGAGCGGGATCTAGCCTGGGACGAGGATAAGCCTCAGAAAGCCTCCGGTTACTAGGTTGCACACTGGAATTAAGAACTGACCGTATGTTGCATGCCAGCACGTTAAATATTGTTATCTCGATCATTCATGCTATACAGAGGAGAGAGGGATGGCCAAAAACAAGGGTGATCACCAAATCATGTCTCCGTACCTTCAGCCAGAGCCGTGATCTATTTCTGTCAACTCATGAAGCTTGAGCCCTCGTGTTCATCAGCCCAGTCCCCAGAATGATACATATTAGGGTTGTTTTTTTTTAATTGATAATATAGGAAATTGAGAGGTGGCTGATGTAAATGGATGTTTCAGCACTGTGAAGACCTTCTGACTGCACTTTGGAATTGTTAAGTTTTCAGAGCATGTCATTGGAATGTGCCCTGCAAGGTTCCATATGCTGCGATGGGATGCGTGTGACTCATGTGACTGCCCTTGCAAGGGCACTAGCTGATCCTCCCCAAGTTGCATGCAGTGATGAGATTTGCAGAAAACTGCTGGGGCAAGACTTCCCTGAGGGGGTTTCCTCTCTGCGCACAGATCAACTTCGCTAGGACTCCCCCCTGCCTTTCCTTTCTCCCTGAAGTTAGAAATGCTCTTTAAGGAAACTATCCTGGAATTTCTCCCACTTTCAATTACCTTTTCTCGTAGGAATGTTAGACACCAGTTCCCCCCAACCACTCTGAAAGCCGTTCACTATAAATACAACCAGGCAAAGGAAGCCACAGGAAAGAGGGAGACGCCAGATGTCTAAGATACTAAGCTTGGTGCTTTTCTCTTTCTGAGTACCCAAGGCTTACAACTTAAGCCTCTTTGCTTGGTCTTCTTTCGGTTTTACTATGGTTATTACTTTGTAATTAAAGTCAGTTTACTAGGGGGCAGTGCCGGTTGCTCAGTGAGTAGGGCTCCAGCCCCATATACCAAGGGTAGTGGGTTCGAACCCAACCCTGGCCACACTGCAACAAAAAATAGTCGAGCGTTGTGGTGGGTACCTGTAGGCCCAGCTACTCGGGAGGCTGAGACAAAATAATCACCTAAGCCCAAGAGCTAGAGGTTGCTGTGAGCTGTCACACCACAGCACTCTACCAAGGGTGACCAAGTAAGACTCTGTCTCTCTAAAAAAAAAAAAGTCAGTTTACTATGTAGACGCTGATAACCTAGACTGGTTAAGCCCTTGGCAAAGCTCACGTATCCACTTGCTACAACTCACTGTTGTCTTGATGACTTCAGGGTAAAAGATGTCCACCTCCTAAGACATTACTCAAAATGCTTGTGTTCAAGGCTTATAAAATTTCCCTTATTCTTAAGAATTCCAGGAAATTTGGGATGATTTATTTATTTATATATGTATGTTTTGAGACAGGGTCTCTCACATTCTGTCACCCAGACTAGAGGGTGGATTTTTTTTGGGGGGGGGTAATCTTTCTCCTCTATCAAAATGGGCCAGGCACAGTGGCTCACACCTATAATCCTAGCACTCTGGGAGGCTGAAGCAGCGGATTGCTTGAGTTCAAGAATTTGAGACTAGCCTGAGCAAAAGCAAGACTTCATCTCTACTAAAAATAGAAAAATTAGCTGGCGTAGTGGTAGGTGCCTATAGTCCCAGCTACTCAGGAGGCTGAGGCAAGAAGATGGTTTGAGCCCAAGAATTTGAGGTTGCTGTGAGCTAGGATGATGTCCTTGCACTCTACCCAGGGTGACAGAGTGAGACTCTGTCTCAAAAAAAAAAAAAAAACCAACTAGCTTCTGTTCATCACACAACAAAAACTTCAAGGGTACTAAATGAAATTTAAATCATCAACCTAAGGAGGGACAAATTAGATTGAAATTACACAAAATTAACATCCATGAACTCAGCAATAATGAAATAACACTCTCCTTGTGAATTCAGCAGGTCGGAGCCTTCAAGGAAGGGAAATTCTTTTGTTATTATTATTATCATCATTGTTATTATTATTTTCAATTACTAACAAAATCCAGGGGCTATAGTAAGGGAACTCTCAGGAACTCTGGGAGTGGAAGATCCAAATTCTGTGCTTTGGATGATTTCTGCCCCCTGCTGGATGTGTGGAGTAGAACGATGTATTCAGCTACTTGCTTAGAAAGTCTAATTTTTTTCAAAGATGATATCCATTTATTATAGCAAAAACATACCATACCCTGATCCAATAAAATTTTTCTTATTCTCTGAAATGTCATTTTTTAAATCTTAATCTCATTTCTCAACTTGTTTAACAGTACCCTTAAAAAGTGTAAGTTTAGGCTCAGCGCCTATAGCTCAACTGGCTAAGGCGCCAGCCA